TATCTATCTATCTATCTATCTATCTATCTATCTATCTATCTATCTATCTATCTATCTATCTATCCTACCTCTACGGGGAGGAAATCTTCCAGCTGACCAGGACCTACGAGAAACTCAAATCCGAAGAGCCACCATCTTATGTGAACCTCACATTCCTACGCAATTGCCGAGACAAAAAAGTGATCCCCACATGCTTCCAACTCAAATTCCATTCCAAAACCTCAGCCACTGAAAGGATTCTGAAAAGAACAGAATTAGCCCTAATCAGAAATGAACTCCACAGGAAAATATTCCTACTAGACCAAACCAACAGGGACCTACTTATTCTTGACCTCAAACTCAGCAACAAAATCCACCCAGCACTCTGGGACAAATCCAAACAGCCCTCTGGAGTGCTGAAACAGAAACCTCCCACAAGACAGACACACATACCAACAAACTCCACAGACTAGAGAAACGCCAGAAGCCCAACCCCCACCCACAGCAATGCATGAAACAAACAGTACACAACATATCAGACAGAACCCTCACTATAGTAGAAACCAATGTCCTTTCCAAGGGATTCAACTTTGCAGTCGCCCCCAAACGCATCCCCACCGAAAACTTCATATGTGGAGTCGAAGCTAGCCTAACCCAAATTAACCCAGATGTAGCCAATAAAATCAGACTTAAAGTCACCAATGTCCTCTGCTCCAGCAGTCCACCCAGAAGCAACTTACACAGAGAAGAACAAAAAACACTCACCAACTTGAGGAAAGACAACAACATAATCATTCTCCCAGCAGACAAAGACAACGCTACAGTCATGATGAGCACATCAGACTACCAGTCCAAACTATCCAATCTACTCCAAGACCCCAATTACAAACCTCTAAATACAGACCCCACCACCTACCTGGAAAAAAACACCAAATCCAAAATAAAAGCCTCTCCCATCAGTGAAGAGATCCAGCAAAGAATCATCCCCAGAAAAATCATCCAGATGCGCTAAGCTCTATGGCCTCCCCAAGATACACGAAGAAGGAACACCACTCAGACCCATAGTCAGCTCCATAGGCTCACCTCTACAGAATCTTGCCAAATTTCTCGCCAAACGACTCCAGCCCTAAACAGAATCCATCACCTCACACATACAAAACTCTTTCCATACTCTTCATAGAAACAATAAAAAAACAAAACCTACAACCCAGCAACCTACTCATGAGCTTATCCCTCTTCACCCAAGTACCTATTAAAGAAGCCTTGATAGCTATCCAAAACAAATACAACCCCCCTAAGCACATCCTAGATCTGACCAACCACTACCTAACCAACACATACTTCATCCACAATGCACAAAGATACAAACGGATAGAAGGAGTACCTATGGGATCACCCCTCTCACCTGTCATCACTAACCTATACATGGAACACATTGAAACCAACGCTCTAGACAAATCCGAACACAAACCCAAACTCTGGCTTAGATATGTAGATGACACTTTCGTAATTTGGCCACACAGGAATGAAAAGCTGGACAACTTCCTCACACACCTCAACAGCCTACACCCCAAAATACAATTCACCATGGAAACAGAAGCCAACAACCAACTTCCCTTCCTGGACGTCCTAATTTACAAAAAACCCAATGGCTCCCTAGGACACACCATCCACCGAAAGAAAACACACACCAACCACTACTTAAATACACAATCCCATCACCACCCTGCACAGATCAACTCTGTAGCCAAGACCCTCATCTCCAGAACCAAATGCCACCTGAGAACAGAATTACACACCCTCACTAACGTATTAATTTCCAATGGATTCCAAAGAAACACAATTACCAACTTAATCCTAAAGGAAAAACCCCCCAGAAACCGAGACACAGTCTGTGAGTCAGACAAACACAATACAAAAGCCTGATGATGGCAGATGAGATTCTGCCGAAACGTTGCCTGTATGGTTTCTTCAACGTTGCCTGTATGGTTTCTTCAAAATCCATATTGAAATAATATCTTTCTTAAGACGCAGCACATTTTTTCCATTTCCCCAAAGGCTGGAATATAGATAATTTCACCATATCTATATCCAAGTTAATTGTTAGCTTGAAAACATATCATGAATTTGAATCCTCCTAGGTACAGAAATGGTGTATCAAAGAATCCTCCCCAACTTTTCTTAGAAAAATGAATATTAAATGATGATCCTTTTTAAAAACAAAATGCCATGATCAAAGTTAAAATTGTTTCTGCATCTGCAACAACAAGAAGAAAAAGGACCCTTGGTAAATTGGTTTTCATAAAACATAATAGGGTGCTACAGAGATAGTCTGATAAGCAATTATGGAAGATATTGGGACACAGAAGCAATGTCTCAGTGCTTATCTTTGGAGGACTGGATTTGGAAAACATAAGAAGTATAGTATAGTGTTGTCTGCATTTATTGTATTTACTGAACACCAATCAACAGAATACAGTGTTTGCTAGTGATTTTGAAATGAATAGAATGAGCTGATACTTAAACACTGTATTGGAGGCAAATAAAAACTACAGAAGATGAACAGTCCAGAATTTCTGGCTTAAACTGCTCAGCCAGAAAGTTGCACCCTAATTTAAACCTTAAATAGCAAAGTTTTATGTGCTCATATTAGTTATAGATGTGTTATAGATGAATTATAATATGTAGTTGATAGCCACGTGCAAGAGGAATATGTGAATAAACTGAAAATAAATAATTTTCAGCAAAAGATTTAAAACAACCAGAAATTCTTATATTTCATTAATGACAGAATACAAATAACTGTAGAGAAATTGTTGCTGCCCTTTTACTTGAGTATCTCATACAAATTTTATTTCAGATTTCATAGAGTTAGATAGATAGATGATAGGTGGGTGGGTGGGTGGGTGGGTGGGTGGGTAGATAGATAGATAGATAGATAGATAGATAGATAGATAGATAGATAGATAGATAGACAGACATATGATAGATAGATAGATAGATAGATAGATAGATAGATAGATAGATAGATAGATAGATAGATAGATAGATAGATAGAATTGCACAGTTGAAATTTGATTGAGTAATGATTCCTGTTAGATCTTGTATTTTTGCCAGGTTATACAGTATCTCTGTTGTGTCTATTTGAACCAGAAATTTTAAGAACCGTCTTTTGCTTCATTTATGCTGTGTTAGAAGAAGCTAATCTCTTTGACACTATCAAGTACATCCATTTAAAGTTTATGTAATTCAATTAGATTTGTTCCATTTAAACTTTTCACCTTCACAGACTACATAAAATTAAAGTTTGAAACCTTTTCATTTCAGTCTTACTTTATAATCCAGGGATTAGCCTAATGCAGTCATTCTAGCTACCATTTTATTATAAGAGAACTCTGATATAATAAACCTGCAAAAAGCCAAGTTCATATGGCTTTTGAAAAGCAGAATTTCATTTTCATTACCCACTTGCAAAAGCACAGTCATTTTGACTAAAAACGGCAATCGAGAGTGCTCAATTACTTTGGAAGCATTTATGCCTCCCATTACAACAACAGAGTAGTGGTAGCAACCTATAATCCCAGGAGCCAACCTCAAGTTTCTTTGTGGTTTTCAAAGTAGACATAACATAAATAAAACAAGTAACCCACCTACACTTTTATTGTTGTCCCACCTATCTTTCAATGCTTCCTCAACTTCACCCCCAAATCTAATTATAGCAGCTCTTGGCCACTGTACCATACAATTATTTATTTTTATTGTATGGCTGTCATTGTATTTCTTGTAAAAAGTTGGTTCTCCCATAGAATTATCAAAAGGGGAAGGTCTAGCTTCACAGGGTGATTCTCAGCTCCCTTGGCTTAAGAGTTTACTAACACTTTAATTCCATGGTCAACCTAATACAGTATCCAGTTCATATACTTCTGCTCAGCCCTCCAGAAACCATGTGACAAGTCTTGTGTAAATGGATACCTCCAGAGGTATAGGGTTCAGCTTGATAATTCTCCTTTACCCATGAGAAGGTGGATGATAGAACTTTTAACACATTTGGAGGAAACCAAACTAAAGAAGGCTATTATGGCACTAGATTGTAGAAACCATTTTTTTTCCACAAAGAAGTTTCACTGGCACACTACAACTAATTAAGAACTGCTAGTCCAAGAGCAGAATAAGCATGGAACAACAGCTAAGAAAGAAGTCAGTCTGTTCACTATTCTTCAGTAAAATATGTAAAAGTATATTTTAATAGGAAGCAATGACTACAAGCTTAAGACTGACAGAGGCAAAATAATACTTAAAAAAAAAACCCTCAGTATGTGCCTAGAAATCTGAAGGGCTCCCAAATGGTATCTGACATAGATATAATATATAACTCGAAAGATTTACAGGTGGATTTTCCAGAGGGTGGCGGCAATTTGACAGATGTCTTCCTTTGATACACAGATCATGCTTCTGTTTTTGTACAGTCAACAAAACCTCAAAAGAACTGACAAACTGGTTCTCATAGGCTTGGGTTTCTGCTCTTCAGAGGCTTTGTTGTCTGTCCAAATACACTTTTGTGTGACAGATAATTTATGTAATACAAATGATGTTAGCTTTCAAATTTTATCTCAGTGGAATGTTAACTAGAGCATATCTACTTGAGCTGATTTGCCTTCACCCTACGAATGAATGTTGATCATGAAAGAACATCCTGAAAATAATGAGAACAATCTTAAGTTTGTCCATCTAACATTATTATTACTTTCTGGACAATCAAATAATAGTAGACTGCAATTCTTCATCTGTTTACCATGAGCAAATCCTACAAAATTTAGTACTTCCACTTTAACATGCATAACATAAATGCCCGAAAGCCATTGTTACAAATAAGTTTTGTGCTGCAGCTTTTCAGTATGTTGACTGGAATACTTAGATTATAAAACAGTTTTTAAATACATTACCAACATGTTTTGCTCAGTTTTTTTCACCGAGAAGATAACTTATCATGATACTTTATGACATTGAATGTGTTGGTGGAAGCCATTTTAAAAATGGCTGCCTAGTAATAAAATACATCTTAATTTCTACTTCTTGGAAATCTTTCCTCCATAAATTTCTTACTGTAAAACATTTCCAGTTACTTATTTTACAACCTTTGTAAGTAAATGTCTACAGTTTACTTGTTATTTGCTTCAGCAGGGCCAATGTTATTTTCATTAGGAACCATTCATTAGTAGCTTTCTAAAACAAAACAACTAGACAATTACTTTTATACAAATATATTTCCTGTCTTGATAAGATATTCATACAATAAAAATCAGTAGAATTTGCTAGTAATGTACCACTCAGATATGATTTTTAAAATGATTAATCACATCAACCATTGAATAAAAATAATATTACCCTGAGTGTGTAGATTGTGATTCGGTTCCAAATTCTTCACCCTGAGACCTGAAAGGTAAGAAAGATAAAATATAAATGATATTAAAAACATATTTGCAATAATATCACATTAAATAAAATACAAATTAATAGTACAACTAATGAATAGGAATATATTCTTGAGTTATTTAAAATTTGCACTTGTATTCAGTACCTCTTAATATTATGTAAGCCATCTATCACATATAAAATACAACAGAATATAAAGATATAATAGAACCTTTTAAAAATCAGCATAACAATCAGCACCAAAATTCAAATTAAAGAAACATTAGGTAATTTAAATTCTGGGTAGTACAAGTGAAAGAGAAGTGCTTGGTAATAAAATTGCAGTATAACTCCTCACGTGCAGAGATAGGATTTCTTTTTTTCCATTTCTTATAGCACAATATTATATTTTATTTGAAAAGAATATTATGATAAAATTGACTTGACTTTCTATTGGTGGGATTCCTTCCATTCATGCAAGAAGTTTTTATTTGAGACAGAAGGCACAGCTATCCAAAGCTCAAAACTCTCTAGTTAAAGTCTACTACAAAGCATTTTGATGGGAGGATCTTGTGGATCTGTAGACTCCAAAACCACTTTAATTCATGGCTTTCAACTCTGCCATCTTCATCTGACTTAATTACTTTCTCCCATTGATTTCAATGGGAAACTAAAGAAAGTATTGCCAGCCAAGAAAGGAAAAAAAATGATCTCTCCCTGTTTCTCATCCCCATCTGCTGCCCTACCTAGTGTGAACAAATTTGAATGTAGAAATTGATCTAAGTGACTTTTTTCAGGTTCCGGGAGATGGGGGGCCACATGAAATATGATTGGAAGTCAGTGTGGAATTTTGGCCCTTTATTTTTTATTTTTTTAAAAGTCAATTTTATCCATCAAAATCAGGGGTGGGATTCTACCAGTTCGCACCTATTTGCTAGAACTGATTGTTAACATTCTAAGCAATTCGGAGAACCGGTTGTTAGAAGAAATTACTGGCCTAATCCTGTAAGGAAGGCAGGAAGGAAACATTCTGGTGTTGATTACAGAAACTGCCTCTCCGTTAACCCTTATTACATTCTTGGCAGGACTAGACTTCCTGTCTCTGGAACGTCTCTGGAGTTTTTTCCCCCTCCTTTGCTGGTACTTTGCTTTACAAAGTTACAATGGCACTGAAAAAAGTTACTTATGACCATTTTTCACACTTACGACTGTTGCAGCATCCCCACAGTCACGAGAGGCCAGGCAAGGAGATGCGTGCCTTGATGTGAGTGATGTTGAGTTGGCCACGCCCAGCCAGTCACATTATCACCAAGCCATGCCCACCAACTAAGCCATGCCCACAGAACCGATTGTTAAAAAATTGAATCCCACCCCTGATTAAAATGTTTATTTCTTGTCAAAGTTTAGGGGCAAAAATTATGCTTTTTGGTATAGATCCATAGGCATGTGTAATTCTGCTTTGAACTCATTGTACACAGAGAAGACAATGAAGCTTCTGAAGCACATTTTAGAAGTGTTCCATGGAGTATTATTTGCCCTGTTGCTTGTCCATTCGGTTTTGGCCTATATGTATGAGTAGAAGCACGGTTGCATCAAATAGAAATCTGACTATATGGTGTAATTCAAGGGTCCCGTAGCCCATTCGGAACTGGGAAGCACAGTTCCATTTGTGTGCACGCCCACCACTTGTGCAAATGGAGCTGTGCAATTGTACTGCTTCAGTGAAACGATATCCTCTCTAACACCCTGCCATCATTGAAACCCACAGATGGAAAGATCAGGGACCACTGGTCTAATTGTATGAAATTTCTCTGGCCTGAGATCCTTCAGGTGTATTGGCCATGTTATCTGAAAATTCTGGGAGTTGTACTTCCATCTCATCTGGAAGGTATCAGATCGGAGAGGATGGATCTCATTTGGGCTGATATCTTATTCTATTTATTGATTATAAGATTTTCCTTGTGTTTGAGATGCTTTTTGCTATTTGAATGAATCGGAGATATTCTAGAGTTTCTTATAAATTCCTGATTTGGCTCTTTAGAGCTTCAGTTCTTCTACAGATAGCAATTTCAGCTGGGCAGAATGCCCTTATTCCTATTATTGTTAATACAAATGGAGAATAAATCTAAGAGATAAAAAATTTCAGCAACCTCAAACATAATAATCTCTGAAAGAAATTCTTTTTGTGTTGCTGTTATCTACTTACCTCTTAATTAAAAGAGGAATTGATAAAAATTGCATATTAATCAAATCATTGAACTTTAGTTGGCTTTCAATATGCAAATATATCACTGTAGTTTAAAAAAAACACTTCTTGAATAAAAGAAGCCAATAGGAGTTGTGGACAAATATACAAGATTGAATTGGATGGGATGGAAGTGTTTTCCACAGAATAATTCCTAGTGATTCATAATCCTCTAGTCCCCAATAAACAAGAAAGACTTTTAGATTATCTAGAAAAAATATTAATAATTTAATACCTAAGCTTTTGCAGTTTACAATGCTTCTGACATATGCACGGATTATATGGACTTTGAACCTCAAAAATAAGCATTGTAATCAAATTACCATATTATTGTTGCCTCTGTTTGTGATAAATTAGTTTTTAATTGGAGGCGGAATCTTGAACACAGAAGGCACTTCAAATAGTACACTTTGCTCACAGTAAGAATAGTAACAGGATATTATCATTTCAAGATGATAAAGTCCACTTCTAAATTCCACGGCCATGAAAATAAATTGTCAATTTATTACTCTCACTGACTTCTGTTATTATTCTGTTTGTCTGTTTCCTTCTAACCCTGGTGATAGGTAGAGAGAAGGGAGGAAAAGGGAAAAGAGAGATGATGTAGCATTGCACAGGTATATAATTAGGCAATAATTTGTAAAATGGACATTTTAAGATGTGTTGATACTTCATTGTGTTTTATGAAAGATTTATTTTTATGTAAATATTTAATATCTCAGAAGAAAATTACATCTGGCATGAACTGAACTGATAAAAAATGTGTATACTGGTAGGTAATTCTGAGGTCTGATCTGTCACTCTTTCCTTGCTGCTGTTGCCTCTGGTTACTAGTGTCTTTAGGATTTTTTGGGGGGGAGGGGGTGTCTTTGTTTTCATGCTTTCTAATTTATTATGTGTCAAAAAATTGACATGTATCCCAACAGCCTTTAATCATAACTCAAGGTGATCTGAAGTCGCCCAAAAGAAAAATAATGCATAGGATAGAGTTTAGAATAATTAGGTGGGTTGAAGAAATAGCAAGAGGAACAATATCTTGAAGAGTCTTGGAATGGAACTAACAACTGTTTGATTGATTCCACAGAGAATACTAGGCAGAGAAAGAAGAGACAAAAAGAGAAATGAAACATACGCAATGATTTGCATTGGAGGAAGAGAGTCAAAGCGACAAAATTGGAGGTACAAACTAGAATATACACCAATATAAGAGGGTAAAATAGTGGGGTCCTTGGTGCTCTTTGAGCTTGGTTGTTTTCTTGCAGACATTTCATTACTCAACTGAATATTACCTAACCATCTGGAATAAAATAACCAAGATCAGAGAGCACCAAGGACCCACGTTAATGACCCAGTGTAAACTGATTGAAAGAAAGAATGAAGGAAAAAAAGGTATGGGAACATGACTTCTTGACTTCTTTCCAATCTCTTTATAAAATATGGCTTTAGGCGATATTAGTATTCCCCTAGGCAGGAAGAAGGAATAGGTAGTTTCTAGAATAGATGTAATACAGGTAGGCCTCGACTTACAACAGTTTGTTTAATGACCATTCAAAGTGGCACAATGGCACTGAAAAATGTGACTTATTACCATTTTTCACAATTACGACTTTTGCAGCATCCACATGAACATGTGATCAAAATTCAGGTGCTAGGCAACTGGTTCATATTTATGATCTTTGCTGTGTCCCTGGGTCATGTGATCACCTTTTGCAAACTACTGACAAGCAAAATGTCAGGGTTTTAAGTTACATGCCCATAGTAAAGAACTCCGAGGCAGGTAGGTTCCTCAAAGAATAGTTTTATTGGACATGTCATATTGGCACAGGCTGGTGAAAACCGACTCTGAATATTCCTGCGGTTTTCACCTAATTAAAAGTAAATGTTTTTTTCCCTTCCCCAAACAATCAGTCACATGGTCCAATCATGGTGCTGTCCAGTCGCCTGGTAACTTCACTCCTCCTCTCTCCGACCACCTGTGGGAATGTCATTGGTTCCCAGGAGAAAGTATTTTATTGTGGCTACAAAACCCCAGCTATTTCTATTCCCCCCTCCCTTTCCCTCAGCTCCAGTGTGGCAACACTGAAGCCTCAAAATGGCCTTGACCAGATCAGGTTCATTGACACACAGTCAATGAGGAAGCCAGAATCACTTAACAACCAAGTTACTAACTTACTGCAGTTACTGCAGTGATTAATTTAACAATGATGGCAAGAAAAATCATAAAATGGGGCAAAACTCAAATAACAAATGTTTCACTTAACAACAGATTTTTTTAAAAATTGCGGTCATATGTTCACAAACAGTGGTTGTAATGTAGTATTTCCTATCAGTCCGTAATAATATTCATCCACTATTTTTCTGATATTGTGGAATCTGCTTTCTGGAATCAAAATTTCACAAGGTTCATACTTTCTCACCTATTCTCTTCTTGCACCTAAATGTCATCATCCATCCATCCATCCATCCATCCATCCATTTATTAACTTAAAATCTGAGACAGCTTTGATTGTAAAGCAGCTAACTGAGGACTCATGTTACCAAAATAAAAATAGGCAATCTGTAGTTCTCCACTTGTTAGAATATTCCAGTGAGAGTTGGAATTTGACAACAGTTGGGGAATTATAGGCTGAACATCTCTGACTATGGTCAAGAAAGTAAGTCATATTTTCAAATTGGAATAAAATAAAAAATAAAGCACAACTTCAAAGTCTAATTCAGCAATCCAGATGTCTCCCACTCTCATATTATTCAGCTGAGGGGAAATACACATACGCACTCAGAGCTGCAAGGCAGATGAAATACCGGTAATACCACTGTGTAAATTATTATTGCTTCCTGAGGTGTTGGAATAAAATGTTTCTTGGAATCCTTCAAGAAAATACTAGGTAAGTAGACAAATGAAAGAAATTATCTGTGTACAGCAAATATGAAGAATCAAAAATCAAAATCACAGGTGCAAAATGAGAGTGCAATCATTTCTAGCAAGTACAGAAAAAAATGACAAGCTGTGTCAAGTTTATGACATAAGCTGATACATCTTTTCTGAGCTCTTACTGGTTGCGTGGTTATTACAGGAAACCTTTTTTCTGTTAGTTTTGGGGTTTTTTTTTAAAGATATTGAGTAAGAAAAATAAAAATTGCCTTATGAAAATTATTTTGTTATGAACTTTGAAAGAAGGATTTAGAAAGCTGGGAACCAATGTACAGGTAGTCCTTGACTTATGACCACAATCGAACCCAAAATTTCTGTTGTTAACTGAGATAGTTGTGAAGTGAGTTTTGTCTCATTTTACGACCTGTCTTGTCACCATTGTTAAGTGAATCAATTGATAAGTGAGTAACTAGGTTGTTAAGTGAATCTGCCTTCCCCATTGACTTTGTCAGAAGTTTGCAATGGATGAACATATGATCTTGGGACCCTACAACCATCATAAATATGAGTCAATTGCCAAGCATTTGAATTTTGATGACATGATCATGGAGATGTTACAAAGCTTGTAACTGTGAAAAGTGGCCGTAAGTCTCTTTTATCAGTGCTGTTGTAACTTTGAATGATCACTAAATGAACAGTTGTAAGTCGAGGACTAACTATACTTTCAAAATAGTTGTGCTATTCAGTTAGGAACTGAATCCTGTTCTTCCACCCAAGAATTGTTGGTAGGGGTCAGTGACTCATTCATCTTCTTTAGAATAAAGCAAAACATTCATTTGAGGACTTTAACAAACACTTGATGGACATCTGGTTTCACTAATACTATTATAAACACACACACACACCACACACACACACACACAAATGGTATCCATTGGATTGGGTAATAAAGCTGTTTGATTTACCGATCTCTCATCTGTCAATTGTATGTATTTCTTATGGGCAGAAAGCTTCACTTCTTAAACAGCTGAACTGGCTTGGCAAAACATGAAAAATTCAGAGAGGATTCACACAATCAAAGAGATCCGCAGGGTGGAGTCATCAGGAAATCTAGACGGATGCCACAGTTGCACAAAGACTTGTTTTTTTTCATACTTCTTTCAAGTGCAATGCCTGTTGATTACATGATTGTGTGGCCAACATCTTGACACTTTTAGAATGTTGTTTATTTTAAAAGGGATGCAGAGAGGTTTTCTTTAAAATGTTGCAAAGAAATTCTTTAAGAGATTTGACTAAAATTTAATATTCTCTAAAGACTCTGTTCTTCTCAACCCATTCTGTCAAAAATAAAGCAGCTGCAGAAGCTGTCATGTTTCCTTTCTATTGGCTGTGTGCATTTTTAAATCAAATTGTGCAATAGCTCAAATCAATTCAACCTCTTTGAATCTGAGATCATCATCCTCTTTTAACGACCCCATAATCCCTTGCAGAGTGGAGACTGGGCAATTGAATAGAGCTGGGTGTTTACTGGCCAGATGCCCTTCCTGTCACCAACGCGGAGGTTTTTTTTGCAGCAGATATATTCTCAGTGTACCCAGAGAGAGAAATATCTGCCTCTACCTAGGTTTGAACTCACAGGCTCCTGATTGTGAGGTGAGAGCTCCATCTCTAGCCACTGCAACACTCCTCTTTGAATCTGAGAGCTCCAAATAAAATCAGCCTTGAAATACATACTACTGCATTCTCAATATCATCACACCAGTCACTTATTAACCCAGGATGGATGAAACCATGGGAATTCATTGTCAATAGCACAAAAATAAAATGACAATAAAGACAACTATAAGTAAATAAAAGTTTGAAGGACTCTTTGTAAAACTTACTATCCCACTGTTTCTTCGTTCCCCTTGTGTCCCCCTTCCTCCCTCCCACATATATAATATTACAATATGTGCCCGTCATTTCTTAACCCCTTTTCTTGGAGAAATTGGATTTTATGTTTAGCATTCATTAGAAGAGTATATAGGTAGCTCAGGGTTGGGCTGTGGTTCTTTTAAGAGATTTGTGTTGGGGTTGTAGTTGCACTGCAAGAAATGTTCTGGGGTGTGTGTCCTTGGTGCTCTTCAACTTGGTGATTTTCTTGCAGATGTTTCAGCCCACAATTCAACCCTGAGCTACAAATATTCTTTTCTATTAATGTTCTGTGTGTTTTTAAATTTCTATCTATAATTCTTCTGTTGTCTGTTTTTCTTTCCGTGTATTAGGCAACTTCAAAAAAAAAAAAAAAGAGAGAGAGAGAGAATTTGGTCTATTTCTGTTTCCAATATGCAAAACCGCTATCTGCAGTGTCTACTTCTAACAATAACAATAAACAAGACAGTGGGCTAAGAAAAGGCAAAAAAAAAAAAAAAGCAAGCATAATTTTGATGTTAGGCACATAAAAACCCAACATTCATTCCATTGTGAAGATTTCCTGTCTGCAAAGACCATGCTATTTATCCTAGTCACTGGTTTCCTTAGCCTTCTCCAAATTGTTAATAGTGGTCATCATTCTCTTGGCTCAGCATCATTTATTGGGTTCTTTATTTAAGCTTCCTTGATTCAATTAATCCACTGGGAACAGGAAAGATATTAGTTCGATTAGACTGCACTCTGGAATCGCCTCCAGTTAATGGAGCCTAAAATGCAAGGACTGTTGAAACAAAAACAACAAAAAACCTCTGTTCTCTCCACTGAATTGCAAACTTTATATAACAGCGATCATATTCAAATTCTAGTGCTATGAAATATCACTTTTCTCAGGTTCAAATTTGCAATTAATAAACATCCGCTTTTGAGGATGAGTAGGAAATACGTTGGAATATACACTGTTAGCAATGCTGCTCTAGCCCGCATACATTTCTGTTTTGTAAGAACATACATCAAATTTAAGTGAATAATATGCTCATAAGGTCATACCTTTAATAGGGCTTATAAGCCACGTATAAAAATATCTGTACACACATATACATACCATAGAATATAATTGGAGAAACAGAATATTATTTAAAATCTAAACTAGACATGATTGTGGAAAGATAAAGTGTAACAAATTTCATGTTTGACATTCCATTTCAGTGGTGCAAAATGCATGTGTGTTTCTTTTAAATTTTGTATCTTTCCCTGTATATTTTTATCACATTCCACAATTTATAAGTACATGCCTTTTGCAATTTAGAAAATGTAAAGATCAGGCATTCACCAACTGTGTTACTATGTTCTTGCTACACAGAAGAAGTAAGGGTGACAGTGGGTTTTTTCCTTTTATCCCATCCTTTTTCATATACAGCTTGAGGCGACGAACATACCAATATTCCTCCCTTCTTTTATTTTTCCCACAACAACCACCTTTGAAGTTAGTTGACCTAAGACAAAATGACTGGTCCAAAGTCACTCAGCTGGTTTTTCATGCCTAAGGCCAGGATTAGAATTCAGAGTCTCCTAGTTTCTAACCCAGCACCTTAACCAACTTGCTTCCAGAAAAGCAATTTTTAGGGGATTTGAGACTCACTGATTTAGAGATGATCCTATCCACCAAATTGTTATCTTTTAATATGCAGCATTCTGTACACTCTGAACCACTCTTCAAGCATTGGAGATACAGTATCAGAGATGATATGATGGTTTGCAGAAAGTTTCATTTGGATAAGAAAATAATCTGAAATCAGTTCTCCAGTACAGTGTCATCAGTCTCAAAGGAGAGTTCTTTGAGAGTTGTTTGAGCAGGGGTTGGACTAGAAGACCTCCAAGGTCCCTTCCAACTCTGTTATTCTATTATTCTTAATGGAGTCTTGCTGTCGCCTTGGAATTAGGGGCTATAGGACTGCAAATACAATGATATAAATAGCAATGGCAATTAGACTTATATACCACTTCACAGTGCTTTACAGCCCTTCTAAGCAGTTTAGAGAGTCAGCATATCGCCCCCAACAGTCTGGGTCCTCATTTTACTGACCTTGGAAGGATGGAAGGCTGAGTCAACCTTGAGCCTGGTGAGAATTGAACTGCCAAACTGCAGGCAGCCAGGAGTCAGCAGAAGTAGCCTGAAATACTGCATACCACTGCATCACCACGGCTCTAAAAACAGTTTGTATAGTAGTAGTAATAGCAACATTTTTTTAAAAAAAAATACTCTACTCTCCAAGATGTTACAAATGCAACAAGTAAATTTTACTATATGATGCAACTATACCTATCCCTGAGGAAATATTTTGGATCATGGGCTTTTGGAAACATTTTCAATAATGTTATTATTGCCTTCAGTTTTAATAATGGAACTGAACTAGTGTGAACAGAATTCAGCATCATGAATATAATGTCTTTTTAGATTTCTGCACTGGCTCACTAGGCCATCATCATTTGACTTTTCCATGATACCATCAGTGTAACACTGCAATTTCTCCAAACTGAATGAAGATTAGTACAGTGGAAGACACCATTGATATATTTGGCAGGCCATCCCCCAAAAAAGTTATGTCTAAAAATGATTCCCTTATACCCTAGGGCAGATTCTGCCAGCAAGCTTTTGTATCGGAATCTGAAAAAAACCATACCAACTCCTCCTCAACTTATGACTACAATTGAGCCCAAAATTTATGTTGCTAAATAAGTTGTGTAAATGAATTGTGCCTCATTTTACAACCCTTTTTGCTACAGTTGTTAACCAAATTGCTGTGGTCATTAAATAAATCATGAGTCTGCTAGCCCCGTAGACTTTGCTTGTGGGAAGCTGGCTTTGTTTGCGGGAAGGATGCAAATGGTGATCTCATAACCCCAGGAGGGTTCCCAAATTTTCCCAAATTTTAATCACATGACCAAGGGAATGCTGAGTAAGTTTATACGTATATTGACTGTTTCCTAGTATGATTTCATTATTTATTGTACCCTATGACTATCATTAAGTGTTGTACCTTATGATTCTTGACTCTTGACGAATGTATCTTTTCTTTTATGTACACTGAGAGCATTTGCACCAAGACAAATTCCTTGTATGTCCATTCACATTTGGCCAATAAAGTATTCTATTCTATTCTATTCTATTCTATTCTATTCTATTCTATTCTA